TCCCCAGCTTTATTCTCCCACCAGCTGCTGCAAAGCAAAAGCAGGAGAAATCCTCTTGGCTTGGTGGATGAGAGCAAAGCCATTGGGACTGGTGGCAGCCTCAGGGCGTGCTCTGCACTTCTGGGTTTCCCTTGGTGAACCGTGTCTGTGTTTGCTGTCTCAGTGTGTGTCTATCTATGTGGAGTTATTTATGCTTCCCCAACACTTATTTGCATCTCCTATGGTTATGTTTACCAAAAGTAAATTCAAATATATGTCTTGCAAGGGGAAAGTGATAAATATGCACGTTGAAATGATGTGGAGCCTGGATGTCCCTGTGAGAGGTTGTGACCGGCCTGGGGGAGAGGGCTTGGGCAGATGCACACCCCAGTGTCTGCACCAGGATCCAGAGGCAAGTCCTTGCTGCAGAAAGGGGAGTCAGTGCTGGCCACTAAGTCTGTGTCAGGACTCTGCCCTCCTTCTCGCTGTCCCCAAAGGGCCTGGAGGTACCTCACAGTGAGGGAATGCCAAGGGTCCCCATCTCTGCATCTCCTCCACTGGCATGGACACAGGTGAGAGCCCCTGCAGTATCGTGGGAAGGAGCAATGGGAGAAAGGGCCCAGAGGGGAGCTGGGTGGGAAGGGGATAGGCAGCAGTAGCTCACCTCACCCTTTTCAGCTCATTCTAGACACAACTGTGAGCACATGTATGGTGGGGCCATACTGTGAGAACTGAGATGTAACTCCACTGGTGCTGGGGATCGGCTGAGAGCCTCTTTGTGTAGCAGTGCCCGGCTCTCCAACCTCTTCACACTCAGAAATGCTGCACATGTCTGCAATAGTGAAGACAGTAGCCTCCAGGCCCTACCAGCTGCTTCCAGGCACATCAGATCTTACCCTCCTTTCCCCAGGATGCTCCCAACCTACCTCTCCCTTCCCCTACTCTACCAGACCTACAGTTGTTTCCTTCCTCTATACAAAGGCTCAGTCACAAATTGCCAGGATTAATTTCTGTTTGGCTTCAAAGGGCACTATCATCACTGTGTGTTTCTTGGTGTGACTGGGAACTGTTTTCCTCTTGGTTGCCTCCTTACTCAAACTGGGAGGTCAAGGACCAATATCTTCCTGCTTCCTCCATCTGAATCTTTCACTTCCAAGGTCCTCTATCAGAATTTTGGGGTCCACAAATCCGTGTCCCAAAGGAATGTTTTCTCTTCTGCTTTCCTGTTGCTGTGCCAACCAGCTGTAGTGATGGCTGATGCTCCAGTGACAGAAAAATTATGTTTCTCCTTATACTTGTCTTTGTGTGCGTGTTTACTTGTGTTTGCACAGGTGTGTGCACTAGGAAGGGTTTGTGTGTGTGCACATAAAAGCAAGGAGTGCAGATAGGTACCTGGGAGTGAAGCAATAGAAGACTTTGTATGCAAATGGGTGTATACCCACTGTGTGTGTTATCTATGGAGCTGGTCCCATCTTAGAAATGTGGGTGTGAGCCAAGAAACTGGAAAATGGATATTTACAGATTTCTACTGGCTCAGTAGCTGTATTGTTGAGGGTGATTTTGGAGATGAGGTTGATAAATTGAACAGAGTCCAGAGTCCTGGTATGTTACAAATGTGTTTAGGGTGATAATGGGGAGGGGGAGCCGTGTACAGGCTTACGTCTGCCAAAGGGAGTGCTAGTACACAACTGTGCTGCACTTGCAGGGGAGCCTGTTGAGGAAGGAGCTGCTTGTGCATGTGGAGCAGGACGGACAGCTGTGCTGCTGCCTGTGTGCTGCAGACTGCTGTGCCTGCCTGTGGGCACTGGGGATGGCTCGGGGTGCATGCCTTGTGCCACAGCCAGCTGCAGGAGCCCAGTGGATAGTCAGAGGCCACAAGTGTGGTGGCTGCTTCTGCCTGCTCCTTCCCAGACCCTGCCCTGAGCAGTCGCATCTTTTGCCCACAGCATCAGATGGCAGGACAGTGTTTATTTAACATGTCTGGAGGCTGCACTGATCCACAGTGCAGCATCACGGTGGCTGGGCATCTTCCCTGCAAACTACGGCCACTTTCGCTTAAGCAGGTCCCTGTGTTTGTGGTGTGGCAGAGCTGTGCCTGTCATCCCAAGAGTACTAGGCAAAGGCTGGCTGCAGGACACCTTTGTGTAATTGCAGAGGCAGTCCTGGAACCACAGCTACTTCTGAGGAAAGCTGAGTCTGCCAAATCATCTGTAGCTCTATTCTGCCAGGTCTCACCATGATACAGTGAACAGGTCAGACAGGGCAGGGCTCAAAAGCCTTCAATTTTTTTTTTCCATCAGAAGCTCTTGAGCTCCTGCTGCTAGCCTAATTTTACTTTCACAACAAACCCCAAATAATCCTAGGGACTTTTACTATTTCCTTGTGTAGACAGAGGCAGAGATTAAAGATCCAATCTAAATAATCTAATTCCAGAGATAATCCTTTTGCTCTTATCTCCAATTTTGTACCAGGGAGCTGCTTCCAAGGAGCTCTACATGGCAGGGCACAGCTGGTCCCTTGTGGGCACCTGAGCCTTGTAGCCCTGTGCCAGTTGGGAAGGCTATGGGGCAGTGGGGCTGGCTCACACTTATTTCTTAGATACCTCATTAGCCATGAGGCCTGCTTCTAACCCACATATTTTTTCTGCTGTTTTTGGACATCCCAAATCCTGATCCCATTTTCCAGCAGTAAATGGCTAATACTCTAAACATGTGCCCCTCATTGCTCATGAACAATCGGGGTGCCAGGGAGACCAGGCAGGACTGATTCAAGACAGTCATTTTGGCACAGCTGCCAGGGGACAGGGAGAGATCAAGGGATTGAGAAAATGACCCTGAGACTTTCACTTGTAGGTTACTGGTGTAAATCCAGCCTGCATCAAGGGACTGACTGATGGCTCAGTGGATTAGTAATAGGATGGAGCCTTTGACATCTGGGGCACAAACTGGCATCAAGCTGCTGGTGTGACAGCAAGAATTGATTTGGGACAGCAGTGTAGGACACCACAGACACAGGCCAAACAGTGTCTGCCATCCTCTGCCAGGAGCTGTGAGCCCTGTGAGCCAGGACGAGGGGCTCCTCTTGCCCCAGATGAGCACAGCCACTGTCCCTCCTCACTGCTGATCCCTCGTGCTTTGTGATGCACTACTGATTCTTGGGAAATGATCATCCAAGCTAGTTTTTAGAAAATGTTCACCCTGGGAACACCTGGTAACACTTAAAGTGTTTAAATGCTTCAAAGTTGTGTTCCTGACCCACACATCACAGTTGAAAGTGTAGGATTAGGGAGGATCATTTGTAATCAGCACAAATGAGCTCTAATGAGGCCTCCCTCAGCCTCACCAAGTGGACAGCATTGTCCTGGACATGGCTGCTTGCACTCCTTTGGTAGCAGAACTTGGGGGACACCCAACAGGTCACAAACACAGCAGGGATACAGGAGATTAGCCTGGATTTGATCAGATGCTGCCAGGGCTGGGGACTGTAACGCTGAGATGATTTGCCAGGAATCAGCATGAGGTGGCTGAATCTGGAGAGGTGCTAAGTGTACACATTTCATACTACTAATCTGGATGTGCTTTCCTAAGGCACCCTGTAGTTTTAGGAACCCATTCCTTGCAGCAGTGCCATGTCTGTCCTGGCCCAGTTATATCATGAGCCCAAGAACTGATGTCACAGCAGCAGCAACATGGTTTGGGATCCACTCCAACCTGGGCAGAACAGACTGGGGAGCAGGGGGTGGGTGGTTACGCATTCTGCCAAACAGTTCACTTCTCCAAGATTGTGTCTGGTTAAGAGGCCCACAGGTACATTACAAAAGCAACAAATGCATTTAATTCTCAGTCTGCAGCACCAATTTTTATTTATAGAAGCAAATGCTTTGCAAAAGACTTGAATTAATAAAATATCACTGGCACTTAGGAGAAGCCACTGCTAATGCAGCCGGTGCCAGGAGCATAGGCCAGTATCTGATGCCTCAAGGAACACCATGATCAGACAGAAGGGCAAACATTAAGTTATTTGTTCCCCCTTTGTGTAGGGAGTGAGTTTCATTCGACCTCTCCCTGGGATATCTCACTCCAGCCACCAAAGACCTTGCCAAGGTCCTCCAGAAAACAAACCCAGGATTTTACATTCTCTTATAAAGTCCAAGCCAGGGATCAGCCCGCTGGCAGTGTCACGGTCACCTCCCTGCCTTCCCCTTCACTGGAGGCTTTGCTTCGCTTGTGGTGCAAGATGCTTGCACACCACCGGCCGCATCGCTCCTTACTGGGCAGGCAACTGCCTATTTCCTTACTCCATGGCGGGGGCGAACAGGAGAACCAGCGTGTTCTGCCAAGGCAGCGAGCCGGGCTTGGTAGCTGCTGTTCAGAGCACAACGGGCACGGAGCTACCGGGACGTGGCAAGGAGCCGCCCCCGACGGCGGTGGAGCTCTCGCTGTCCCAGGTCCGCTTCCAGCCCCTTCCCCGAGCACAGCGGGTCCGCTCCGGTCCGCGCTGCCGCAGCGCCGCCCGTTGCCGCGGCAACCTTCCGTCTGCGCTTCCCGCCGCCGCCCCGCCGTGCTCCGCGTTCCGCCGCGCTGGAGCCCCGCGATTGGCGGCGCGGAGGGGCGGGCTTTGCCCACCAGCCGCCGGCGCTCAGGCCAGCTCGCCGGGCTGTCCCCGCTGCGGACACGGCGCTGGGGAGCCTCGTCCGTCTCCGCCACGCCTTCCCAGGGGAGCCGGTTGCACACCCGCTCCGCTCCGCTCCCTGCACGGGCGGTACCGGCCCGGGCGCCCCGGCCCGCAGGGACCCGGCTCCCCGCGCCGCTCCCGCCGCTGTCCCCGCGCCGCTGAGCCCAACCCGCCCATCGCCACCGCTCATTGGGCCGCCGCCTTATGAATATGCAAATACATCCTCGGGGCCGTCTAATGGCAGGCGGGAAGGTCATTAATATTCTCGTTTCGGCGCGCGGATTGGCCGGTGCTCGTCCCGCCCCGGCAGCGGGGTAAGCCGCCCCCTGTCGGCGGCAGGAAGGGGCGGGCGCGGCGCCGGGAGCGCGACATGGTGGGCGCTGGTACGCGCGGGGCGCCGCTGCTGCCGCCCGTGCTGCTGCTGCCGCTGCTGCTGCGGGGCGCGGCGGGCGGCATCGCCGACAGCGTCGTCTGGGCCGTCAACGCGGGCGGCGATGCCCATGTGGACGTGAACGGCATCCACTTCCGCAAGGACCCGCTCGAGGGCCGCGTGGGCCGAGGTGAGGGCGGGGGATACGCCGCGGCCGGGGCATTTCGGCGGGACAGCCCGCGGGGTCGCGCTCGGCTCGGCTCCGCCGGCGCTGCGAGGTCCCGCTGTGCTGGCGGGGTCCGGGACCCGCGCGCCCCCGGCTCCGTGCTGCCCGCTGCAGCCGCGGCGGCTCCGTGCGTGTCCCTGCAGGACGGCGGGGGCTCCTCTCCCCCGGCCGCCCGGGGACGGTCGTGGCCCGGAGGCAGCGCCGGCACTTGTCACCAGCGGGACCACGGCCACCCTTGTTCTCCCGCCGGGCCCAGCTGCGGCTGCATCTCCCGTCCCCGTGGCGGTGCGGGCCCGGGGCCCCAGAGGCGGCAGGATGAGCCCTGCGGGATGGTGTTCCTGCCCTCGGCCTGCGGGGTTGTGTAATGCCGGAGGATAAGTGGCTCCGCGAGGGTTGCAGTGGGATTTCGGCTGGACAAGCGGCTGGAGCGGACAAGCTGCCAGCCCTGCCGCGTGTGCCCGCCGGTCTCACTTTCTCTCCCGTTTTCCACTGAAGAGCCCGTGTTCCACAGCAGGATCCGCCGGTTCACAGCCCAGTGCGCAGCGCGCTCGGTGCACTGGGAACAAGCTTTTCCAGCCCTCTGCAGCCGGATCTGGGTCGCGCAAGATGTGGGCTGATGCTTGCAGCATTCTGGACCCGACAGCGAAGAGCATCGGGCTCGCTGGAGCCCTGGTGCTGGGCCCGGCAGGGGGAAGTTACAGCCGGCTGGTCTGCTCCATGCCCCAGTCCGTGGCTGGGTGCTCAAGGGCAGGGACACGAGCAGAAGTAGGGGCAGATGGGAACTCATCGGCTGCTCTAACTACCAAGTCAGTAAAATCTTCAGCCTACTATTTATGACAGGATGGAGAAGTAATTGCACTTGGAGTGCCTTTTCCTACTTCCCCCAAGACCACACAGTTTGAATTGTGCATGTTTCTGATAATTGGTGTACCAAAACTTAGTGGATTCACTAATATATTGAAAAGCTAGCTGTGCTGAGCTGCTCTACTGTCAGTTTCAGGTGAGTGGTGGAATGTGGAGATGAGCTCTCTGTTGATTTTTGCGTCTAACTTTTGCTGTTTCCATGTAGGATGGTGAGGATTTTCCTGTGCTATACAGCTGGAACTGTTATTGCTTGTCCTGCATGAGTGCCATCCCAAATGGAGAGCCTTTTGGGCACACTGGATACAGTGGAGGTCACATTTAAATTATAATACAGTTTTTCACACCCATGGGAGCTGCTGCTTCAGTTGCACAGGGTGCCTGACCACTGTAGGTCAGCTTCCCTTCATAGACCTCTCACATGTGTGACTTGAACGTCCTTATGGACTTGAACTATTTATTTCTGAGTTGAAGAGAAAAAAGGGTCTTTCTCAAGCACATTGTGACATGCACCTCCTTTGTGGAAAGTCCGTGGTGTTTTCTCTGAGCAATAGGCTGTTACAGTAATCCTGCATCAGCCAGTGGTGCCAGGCACAGTGGAGACTTTACCCCTTTGAGCTCTCAGCTGCCTTTCCCTCAATGGCTTTTTATTGCACCATTGTTCATTTACTCTGGGCTCCTCTCTGTGTTGATAGACATGTAAGGGCTATAGCAGAAATGTATGGCTGACTGGGAGGAAATGACCTAGGGATAGTAATTCTCAGCTGTACTGCCTCTGGGCAATTTAAAACTTTTTTTTTTTTTCCAAGCCTCAATTCAGCCACTGTGCCCTAAAGGACTGACTGTGCTGATGGCAATTACAGAATAGGCAGGTGCCAAACATAGTTGAGTTACAGCTTGGTGTGTACTGCTTGCTCCCAGTGAGCACCCAGCATGCTGTAAAATCCATCTAGCTTCCACAGCTCTGTCAACAGAGCTCTGACATGCAGGTGACAGGTCTTCCTCTCCAGTTACCTTCTTGGCTATTAAAGGACTTTCTGTGCAGGCTTTCCTTTAATAGGAGCTGCCTTCTGTAGAGTCCTTGGTTTGCTATCACTGTAATCTGTAGCTGGCCAGAAATATCTGTGTGGGTGGAGAGGTTAAACTTTTCACCCTCTGTATTTCTGGTGGTTAGAGTCCTTAGTCTTTATGCCCAAGTTTGAGTGGTAAAGAGAAGTGGAAGATTGCCTGAGCAGCTCTGTGTGAAACAGGAGACTAAGAACTGGCATTAATTTCCTCTCGTTTGCATTGGCTCTGTCTTTGGCAATGTGCACTGGGTTAGTAGTTCTTGTTTTGTCTTGGCCAGTGCAGTGTCTGTTCCCATGGAAATGGGGGTGGGAGAGGTCAGCAGAGAACTTCGTCTGGATCAACTTCTGCCTGAAGTGCTGTGCCAGTGGATGGATGGTGTCCACAGTCCTCCCTCCTGCCCGTGCTTCGCTGGGGAATTGTTTGATGTGCAGCCCTGGAGGCATTGCATCAGTTTGCATTTATACAGGAACCCTGATACAGTAGCACACCAAGTGGGTTTAAAGTTTTTGGGGGCTGCTGTAGAGGTGGTGAAACACTGAAAAGAGGCAAATTTTGTGATTTCTCTGATTTTGTCAGATGTCCTTTTTGGGCATGGTGGGGCCCTTCTCAGGGATTCTTTGCATGCCTGCAGACAGCACTCATTTCAGCTGGGTGGCTCTGAGAACATCAGCTGATGGAGCTGCTGGTGCTCTTGAAACACTTGTGTATCTTTTTTCTTCCTTTATCCCGTCTTCATGCTGACAGGTATTGTGGGGCTGTGGTGTGAAGAAAGGGCTTTGTAAGATGCCTAATGCTTTTCACCCTTCTGCCATTCCCTAGGTTCTTTGCTGAGGGGGAAGAGTCACTAAAACCCAGTGCTATCAATTGCTAACTTCAAATATGTTATGTCAATTAATCGAGTTAGTCCTATGCTAGCTGTTTTAGTTTTGTACTTGGAGTCTGAAATTTGAAAATATTTTTGTAAAAATATTCTAGGTATTTTCACTCTTTAAAGCAAGAGCCAATGGCCAAGTCCTTTGGCTTTGTGATATGTTTTTGAAACAGGCTTTTCTTTCTGAACTGGTGAGAGTGAACTTACTGTGTCGTAGACTGCAGCATGTCTCCAGACCTGTTTTCCTACATTTCTTGGATTTTGGGACTTTGGCTTCTTGTGCTTCTGCTCTGGTAGTGCTGCCACCTGGTCAGAGCAAGCAGGGGAGACGGGTCTGGTGGGTTGTAAGTGCTAATGCCGCTTATGGAGTTAAGCACTTCAAGAATATATAAAGTGTTTCTTCCTCAGAATGTAACCCTTCCTCTCACTCTTTTGTGCTCAAAACCCAGCTTCTGACTATGGTATGAAACTGCCAATCCTGCGGTCCAATGCGGAAGACCAGATTCTGTACCAGACAGAGCGTTACAATGAGGAAACCTTTGGCTATGAAGTTCCCATCAAAGAGGAGGGCGACTATGTGCTGGTGTTGAAGTTTGCAGAGGTCTATTTTGCACAGTCTCAACAGAAGGTAAGCAATAGCTCCTTGTGTGTCTCTGATGCAAGTTCCTGGCTAAGACTGTGTGTGCTCAGGTTACCTCTGCTGCTTTGCATGCTGGAGGAAGGAGTAAGTTAACTTAGGTCCCAACCTCTCCCAGGCTCTGAACCTTTAGAGCTCTCTTCTGCATTCTAGCTATACAGTTGGACTGGAAAACTTACCTTCAAAGCATTCAAACAAACACATGTAACTAAACATAACTAGCAGTAGAGTTTTACAACAAGTTCTTTTCCTTTTTTCTTGAACACTTGCTTCTGACTAGACAGCAGAGTTATGCTGGAGGAAGTATTGAATAAATTGAAGCAGGGAGGTGGTCTGGGTTAAATACCCTACTCAAAACAATTTTTACAAATGTAATAAGACTTGCTACTGGTTCAGTCTGATCCTGAAAGCAGAGTTAAATTCATCTGCTTATTGCTTTTTAGAGAAGAATAATCCTTGTCCACTTTTGAAATCCCTCATGTACAGAAGTGGAAACAGAAGCAAGCAGAACTCAAAGCCCTGTGATAAATTGGGGTAGGAGTGGTTTGTGTTTTAGTCTGGCTTTCTTCTGATTCTATCAGTTTCTTTTGGGCTGATCTCCTTAAGCAGTGTGCTGCTTTCCTGCCAGAGAAGTATTTCAGGGAGAAGAACTGGTGGTTCTAGCTTACACAACAGATGCAAAAAGCAGCCTCAGATTAAACTGAAGGGCTGAGGCATCTTTGGTTCCTCTTCCTTCATGTGGTTCTGCTGGGATTCCCCAGGTGCTGCCTGTAGTTTGAGTCATTACAGCCTTGAGGAGGACTTTCACTCTGAATTCACAGATGTGGTTAGCAGTTAAACATTTTACCTCCTTCAAACCCTGCGTTCTTCACCAGCGTGTTTCCTCTTCTGCTGCAGACTGTTAGTTAGAAATGGCTTCATTCCCTAGGGTGTGGTGTGTCACAGCCACCCCAGAGTGGTAAGAGCAGATCTTCAGACAGGAGAAGAGTTGTGAAAGAGAAGCATGAATAAACCAGAATAAAACTGTGCTGTCCTCAGGTCTGAAATGCTTATTTAGGGGTTGTTTTAAAAGGAGAAGGCAGATTTCAGAGTATTTGAAAGCATTAATAATGCTTTAGTGTCTTTATCTGGCTGCTTTTGGGCTTTGAATCCTTCCCAAAGGAGTGGGCCAAGACATGTTACAATGCTTTCTGATCCTGGGTGCATAAAAAGCAGAGACCTTTCCTGTTCTGTTCCCATTTCAACTGTCACGTGCCTGAATCTGCTCTGACTCTCTGTCATTTCTTCCACCCTGAAGGTATTTGATGTTCGCTTGAATGGCCACGTGGTGGTGAAAGACTTGGACATTTTTGACAGAGTTGGACACAGCACAGCTCACGATGAGATCATTCCCATGAGTATCAAAAAGGGAAAACTGAGTGTCCAGGGGGAGGTTTCAACATTCACAGGAAAGCTCCACATTGAGTTTGTAAAGGTAATAAGCTTTTCAGGGCAGAGCCTTGATCTTCCCTTTCCCGTTCTTATCCAGTCATGTGGTGCAGCTGTGTGCTGGAGGGGGAGAGGCATTGGTAGGTGGGGAGACCATTCCTTATCTCAGAGCTGCAGCACTGACTGCTGCTTTTGCTTTTTCTAGGGCTACTATGACAATCCGAAAATCTGTGCCCTCTACATCCTGCAAGGAACAGTGGAAGGTAAGCACAGTTTCTAAGCCAGAAGGCTCTTCCCCCTTGGAGAGCAGCCTGTTGCTTCTCAGACTATGAGATCATAGCTTTTGCTGACCCACATCTGCCAAAATTGTTTCTCTTTCACTAAGTTCCCACAGAGTGCAGTTGCAGAGTGAAGTAGGTGTGTTCTGTCCTCATTCTCTTCTAAGTCACAAAACTTCTGTCATTTTAGAGTGAGAAAAAACTGTTTGGAATTTCCTGTATAGGGGGTAAAGGAGAAGGGAACATGTCTGGTCAGTCTCAGCTTATAGCTACAGATAAATACCCTCTGGCCTTGGATGTCAGCAGCAACCCTGCAGACAAATAATTTATGGTTATTTTAGCTAGTGCTTAAGTATTTCTCACCTGGAGCTTTGTTTTGCTTTTTCAGCTTTAGAACAAGGCAGTATTTTTTTTTTCCCAGATACCAGTTTGTCTGGATAGCTCCAGGGAGTGCTGGAAAGGTCCTTGTTCTTTTATCATCCTCTTCATAAGTGAGCTGGAATTGGAGCCCCTCTAGCTCCTGAACTAGGAAGGTTTAGGATCCCTCTCTGACCAAAACATCAATTTGCTTTACTATGCAAAATTCAGCAGGTCAGGTGCTGCTGAAGATTTGGTAAGAATCTTGTGGTCAGGTGGCACCTGCAGCTCAGGCCCAAGGCTCAGAAGGCTGGATTTAGTGGGGCTTGGCCATGCTGTTCTCACAGCTCTAGCTTTGAGGGGTGCAGTGATGTGGAGTAGGACTGTTTATGGAAAGGGTTGTTCCCGTTCCTATTTGCACCTGTATCTGCTGGTCCTGCAAGGCAGCAGGTGCTTGTTCTTGACTAGGTCTTACTGAGCAGCTGCAGTATCTGAATGTGTGCTCTAAGTGTGCTTTTGTGCATTAACTTGTCCCTGTGACACATTGATGACGTGGAAGGATGAAGTTATTCTGCAGGCTGGATCCTTGGATGCTCTTATCTTGCAAAGAAAAGAATTAGTGGTGTGATCCTCTGTGGAAGAAGATATTCCTCTCTTCTGGGGTGTTCTGGTTGTGGTTTCCATTAATGGGGTCTCAGGTGCCCTCTTGCCAATGTTCATGTTGGACTGGGGAGAGGGGAAGGAAGTGTCTTGAGTGAACTCCCAGTTTACATCCTGCCTGCTTGCAACCTTTTGTCTTGTTCAACAGATGTTCCAAAGCTGCAGCCACACCCAGGTCTGGAGAAAAAAGAGGAAGATGATGATGAAGATGACTATGATGATGGCTCCAGTGTCAAAAAACAGGCAAATAAGAACCGGGTTCAGTCAGGCCCACGCACACCAAACCCCTATGCCTCGGACAACAGCAGCCTCATGTTTCCTATATTGGTGGCCTTTGGTGTCTTCATTCCTACCCTCTTCTGCCTCTGCCGATTGTGAGAGCAAGCCCCACAGTGCATCAGCCCAGGGGCTGGGAGGGAAGGAGTTGGACCAAATATGGTTGCTTTCAATTTCTCCATATTGTTCATAATTTAAGGGAAAAAAAAAAGAGATGATTCATTTGGAATGAATAGCAATGAATAGCAGGTCCAGGTAAGAGGGAGCTTACCTTCCCCCTGCCAGCAAGCAGCAAGGCCCTTGCCTTCCCCTTCGCACCATGTGCAGCCTCTGATTTTCCCTGGGGCATCCAAGAGTGAACTGAGTCCTGGCTGGGTGTGTATTGGGCCATGAAAGCTGATGCTACCAGTCCTGGGCTATGTCCTACACTGAGAGAAAGCCATGTGCTGTAGGATCTCTGCCTTTACTGGGTGGAATACAGTTCATTAAGCGGGAAAGCAATTCTTAAAACAAGGCTGGGGTGCACATTTTGTCCAGGAGCGTGGAAGTGTTGTGGTGCTGTTGGGTGTCAAGCGACTGCCGAGGACAGAGCCTGGCTCAGCATCTCCCTGAACGTGTGCAACACTATGTATGGTACTCGCCTGCGTGAAGATACCAAGGCTCCAGACCAGCCTCCGTAGCGACGGTCCCCTCCTAAGACTGCAAGCTGCGCCAGGAGCAGAGGGATTTATTTGGCCTGATTTGCTGCACCAGTTGGGAGAGACTTTCCTAGTCTGGCAGTTGCAATGTTTGTTCCATCGCAGAGGGATTCTGCTGTAGCCTGCGAGAGGCTGACATTGTTAGCGTCTGATCAGATGCTGTTTTCTGTATTGATTATGGCTTTTGTTTTCTTTAATATCCTTTTATTTTCAAATGTTTTGTTTTAAGCCGAGTTCCTTGTTTTGCCTTTCCTAGCAAGTGACCTCTTCTTTGGAAGAAGCTGAGAATCAGGTGAACTAGAGAGGAGGTTCAGGACTTGTTCCTTAAACTTCCTAATGGTGAGCTCCCTTCTCCGTGAATCTAAACAACCCGTGCTGTAGGATAGAGCAGAGCAGCCTGGTGAATGCTCCCTGTGGTCTCTCATTCCCTCTGTAGGGACCAGCCCTGCCTGTAGCAGTGAGAAATGGAGGTGGTCCGTGTTTGCAGTGAGTGGGTATGACCTTTTTCATATCCAGGCCCTGTAGTGAAGGGGCAGATGTCCAGCTTTTCAGTCCTGCAGAGCAAGGTGGTTCATTGCCATCCAGAGATCTGGAAGTGAGCAATGCACTGGAGACAAGGTCACCTGCTTCCCCCAGGGATATTTCTGCAAGAGGCTTCTGTTTCCACATGCAGAGCCTGTGCCTACCTGGCAGAGGCTGAACAGAGCGAAAGCCACTGCTGTGCCTTCTGATCCAGAGCTGCAGGCCCTGAGGAGCTGCCTTCCCAGAGTCTTGGTCTTCAACATGTTGAGCATTTCTGGTTGACCAGGAAGGAGATGTTCTGTGCTGGAGCAGGATCTGTCCTAGGCAGGGTTGGGTTTTTGCGGGTCAGCTTTGCTGCTGCTGAGCTCTGGGCTTACGGAGTGCTTTACCTCATGATCTCTCTGTTGTTCTCAGAAGTGTTCTGTCTTTCCCTGGAGCAGTGGCACTGAGCTGTGACCTCCATGCTGCTCTAGCTCTCTGGGCCTGCATTTTCCTAGCAGTTGTTCTGGGTTTGATCCCCTGCAGTGGCTCAGCCTTTCTTTGAGCTGAGCAGGGTCAGCAGAACTACCAAGCTTCTGGCAAGGGAGCGGGAGGAGCAGCCTGTTCTGTTCTGCTGGGCCCAGATGAAGCCTTCGCTTCCTCTTATCCCTCAGGCTGTGATAGAGCTGTCAGCTCAGGGTCTCCAGAGTGGAAGCTGGGGGAGGTGACAAAATGCTGCTCTCTGCAGCAGTGCCACTGAACCTTGCCTTTCTGATCACATCACTGTTACAGGCCTGACCCTAATTCTGTACCTATGAGCTGAAAAACAAGGAGGATGTTAATGATCTTCTCTCCAACTGCACATGGGCTAGTTTGGGACAGAAGGAAGAGAGTCCCCACCCCATTTAAAGCAGCATACAGGCTTTAGAGAGAGCAGATCTTGAAGAACAAAGCTTAGGATGGAAGGTGGTTGGCTCGAAGTTGTCTGCTTCATCTTCTAGCTACTATTAAAATCCTAATACTTATAAAACCATTATAAAATATGAGCTCTGGTTTGTTCAGTGACAGTGCCTGCAGGGATTCTCCAGCGTTTTTGGGATTGCTCTAACTGGATTGAAGAGACATTTAGATCTTTATCAGTTTTGAGAACCATGAACTGTGCTGATTTGTTAAGCAAAGAATCTGGGGTTGAAAGCAGGCATCTCTCTAAGGAGCTGCTCTCCTCCAGGCCTTTTAGGGTGCATTTTTTTTTAAGCATCCTTGAAGCAAGGAATCACTCAGCTTCTTGTGGCTCACCCAGTAATCTAAGCACCTTGCCTTCCATGGGCGAAAGGGTGTGTGTTTAGATGTGCAGAAGTTGGAGACAAGTCTTTTAGGATAGTTTATCCTGGCCTCTCCTAGCAGCCAGGGCACCCATTTGGTGCCATCAGCTGCCCCAAGGCAGAGCTGTACAGGGTGTGATCTAGTTTGTTCTAGTTGCTCAGTTCAAATGAATTTGTCTTATTTGATTAAGAATAGGGAGGAGAAACAGTTCATCCTTCGTGGCTTCAATTTAGTTGTTTTGACTCTGGTTTTGTGCATCTTTCTCACTATAAAGCTGGTTTCTGGTGGGTTCCTGACCCTGTTAAGGTCCTATGAGCAGTTTCCTTCCTGGTCCATCCCCTCCTGACAGATTTGCTTTGGAAGGAACCTTCAAACAAAGCATGTGGGAGCACCAGGGATGGTGGGGGCTGGCCAGTCAGCACCTTTCTGGGAATGGAGTACTCCAGCTCCCCTGGCCATCTCTGTCTAGTATCTGCAAGCCAGACTCAGGGATGTCATGAGGTACCTGGTCCTGACCAGGAAAAAAAAAATGTTTTGGCTGGCTGTGGCTTTCCAGAATGAGTGTTTGAGGGAATGTCCAAGACATTGTTTAAGTGAGACAGGTCAGAGACAAGCCTCTTTGTGCTGTTTCCTCTGCCAGCAGCAGGCAGAGGGAGTGCAGCAGTGTGGGGAGCTGGGTCTGAACAGACCCTGTCTTGATTCATGTTATGTAGAGAGGGACAGATACGGCAATTTTAGTAAAGTTTCCACTTAATAAAGGGAAAATCACTGTCTATGTATGATATTTCAGGCCTGGATCCAGCCTCAGCATAGTGGTTTCAAAGCTTATTTTAATTGTCCCATCAGCCCCTCCTTTAAGCCAGGCTATTGAAGTCTTCTGTGTGTGTGACTAAACATCTCTGACCCTTTTGATTGTCCCAGGTGGCAGTGAACAGAAAGCCAAATGAATTCCCTTCTCTTTTTGGTGCCTTTGTCTCAGGCTTTGAATAAAAGTCTATTTGATGGAGCTTCTTTTTTTTAAGGAGCTTCTGAGTTTTTTCTTTTTCTTCAAGGGACAGGCATTCCCTGCCCTTGAGATCAGATGGAGACTGTCTCCCTGTCCCCAGATGCCAGCTCTGGAGGTCACAGCTGAAGTAGAGAACTGTGAGCAAGTATCTTTATTTTCAGCCCTTAAAGTCAATGGAAGAAAAGTCTAGCAGGGGATAGAAGAACTGGAAGAGCTCCTTCAGGTCTGGTCTCCCCCAGAAATGGCCTGAAGGCAGGATGGAGAACTTCCAGACAGTCTGGTGCCTGGGTGTCTGTGCAGTTCAGAGCTGAGTGAGTCATTCTGGGTCCTGGTAGCTGTTTGGCACGTACAGCTTCTGGGTGCAGAGTGGGGCTTGGGGGGTCCTGCACCCCTAATTTACTTGCTGAGGGCTTGCCCTGTGCTGCTTAGGTCTGAACAGAGCAGGGACCTGTGCCTTGTCCCTTAGCCTATAAGTTGAAACAGGATTGCAACAGCCAGGGAAGTGTCTTGCTGCAGGAACTCTGGGCTGAACAAGCCTGTTGCTTATAGAAAACAGCAGGAGGGAGAGAAGCATGAGAGCAGCTTCAGCTCTTGATGTGAGACAGATTCTGAGCAGCTGCGAAGTACCAAGTGTTTCAGGCTCTGTTTGGGGCTCAAATGTGGGAGAGATCCATCTGCTTCTTGCACGTATGATGGGGAGGGAAATACCCTTGCTGAGAATCCAAGGGAAATAGGATCTGGGCCAGCACTGAGCTGATTTACCTACTGGCACTTCTGCATCTCCACAACAAATGCCAAAGCCTAATACAATTCAAGGATGCTATTTTAACGTCGGCCTGGTTCCACCAGTCTGTCTCCACCGGCTGGTCCCAAACAGGCTCACATAAGTATTCTCAACGGCACAAACACACCAGGCTGGAGCTGTGCAGGCTCAGAAACGTGATCACACAGATGGGCCTCCTGTGCTGCACCCCTGCCTTGTGCTGCCCAGCAGGTCTGGGGCACATGCATTCACCTTGGATCCAAATGGATTTGACCCAGGAGTATTGTAGCATTGAAAGGTGCTGGGATGGATGGGAGAGGTGAAAGCAGGTCCATGTCTTCCGGGACTCTGGCTTGCTCAGAGTTTATTGCTGTATATTAAATACTATTTTTGGAGATTGAGGGGAAGATGAGGGTGGGGAGGGATGTGACGATGCTGTCCCCAGTCTGATTGGTGGGATGCTACTACAGGTTATTGATAGGTTTTGATTTTTTTTCTTCCCAAGAAGTGCTTTATTAAAAAAAAAGTCAACAGAACAAGTGCTTTCCACCCTCCTAGAAACCGTGCTGGATGATCAGAAAATGTGAATAATCTTTTGCAAACATCAAAGGTTTCTGCTAAAGAGTTTATGTGATGGAGATTTGAAAGCAAGGGGCAAAGTCCAGCTTGAACCAGTTTAGCTGGAAGAGTGTGAATCCAGGAAGTGAAGATCTCTTTCCTGGAGTAGTTCTGTCACACTTAATGGGGATGTGCTCACTAGTGCTACCATGGCTGTTCTGTCACATTGTGCAGTTCCTGAGCTGGTGTTCTGGAGCAAAGCCGTGGCTGGAAACTAGCTGGCAAGTGGGGGACTTGAAATTTTTGTGGTTTCCTTGGGGCTTTGTGCATTCAGGGCTTTCCCATTTGAGAAGCAGCTGGGTTGGTTAAGTAGCCCTGGAGCCTGTGAGAGCAGAGGCAGGATTTGTGCTCCATGCCAGGAGGCAGCAGCCAGGACTGTTAGAGGTGGTGGTGGTGCTTGGTTCCTGTGGGGTAGCAGCAGTCAGCGTTGGCACATGGTCCCATCACTCCATTGTGCCTGGCTGTGGATGTGTGGAAGTGACCTCTGCCACTGGCATTAAGGACACATCAGAAATTACTTAAAGCTGCAGGTCTAAGTTGTCTGTAAAAGCTGAAGCAGTATGAGGAGAAATCTCCATCTGTACGTGTCACCAGTACAAAGGGTTTTTGAGGAGGATTTTTTATTTTACTGCCCATTGTTTTGTGTTATAACAACTTGCAGTGACATTTTTTAGTTTGTTTGGCAGCAAGCTTGGGCCCTAGGTGAAAAGCACAGATATCTATTTCTGATTGCGTTGGCTTTGCAGGGACTAGTTTGGGGGAGATGGGCATGGGGGTGGGTTATTTTATTTTTGGTACACGGTAGCAGTTTTATTTTCTAATTTTCCCAGGATGTTTGGCTGAGGGAATGTTCTGAAATCTACTGTCTGGAAGTTTAACCAGCAGTGTGCTAAAGGAAAATAAACAAAATTATATTGTCACTTGGATGAGGTGGTCCCTCTTTTCTGGTGGTGGGGGCAGAGGAGCCCCTTCTGGTTTACACCCAGGAGGGAGGCTGAGCCTGGCTGACTGCTGGGTAACGCCGTGCTGCTGCCTCCAGTACGGCCCTGGTGATCTCTTGCCTGTTGTTTTGAGCGATAAAGTGCAAATCGAATGGTACAACATCCTCTTAAAAGTACTGATGTGGTTGTTGCTTCCTGCTCAGAGCCGGAGCACCAGAGAGATGTAATCTGCTTTCTGGGGCTTTGCAAGCTGCCCCCCTTTCAGCTTGAAACCGTGTCAGAGGCAGCCAGAGCTGGAACAGAGAGAAAGCAACAGCCTTGTGCTCGGGGTGCCTGCTCTTGGGGACAAGGGACCCTGGTACCATGCAGAGAAGGTGCTTCTGCAGAAGGCCTGGGTCTGTCCTTCCTTAGGGCACAGGATGGAGCACCAAGCCCATGCAGCGAGGAGGATTTAGGAGCACTGGCGCAGGCAGGTTTTTTTGAAACAACATTTGGCTGGCAGTAGCAGGAGTGTGCTGCTCACAAGCCACAGCAAGTGTCACAAATCACTGCTCAAAATCTGCTTCTGGTCATCGTGAGCACGTTCAGTGTCAGCTGGAGGACTTCCAAAAGGAGGATGCAGACGTTTGTTGTTCTTGCCCTGTTCTCAGAGGGCTGGAGGTGACTCTTGGCAGCTCTTGCGTGCCTACTGCGGGCTGGCGGGCTGCCCCTCTTTGGGAAGAAACATATTCTTTCCTCCGTCTGTTGATACCTTGAGTCCCTCCCCAGTTCCTCCCACCAGGCTGGGGAGACTCGTCCGACGTCTGCCGCTGCCACCTGGGGTGTGTGGCCATGGAACTGCCTGACCCGGGCCACACGGGCCTGTCGCTGTCCCGCTCCCCAGGGACAGCAGCTGGGGTGTCCCCGGCCAGGAGCGTGGTGTGCCCTCCGTGCCATCCTCCTTCTGACGCTGCCCCTTCCCGAAAAGTGCTTGCCACCGTCCCCTAAAGAGAGCAGGGCTCTCGGGGCATGCCTGCTCTCTGTGTCTGGGCAGCGCTGCGGGTTCAGGCCATGCCTTCGGAACCAGGAGCCCGGGTGGGCAGCGAGGGGCGACCACAGCGGGACGCGGGCTGGCAGCCGGCCGGGGGCGATTTTATTTGTTCCTCGTGTTGCTTTCCCTCAAATAACTCAGCGGCTGCCGCGCCGACGGTGCCGTGCGGGGCTCTCGGGTCATCCATCCGGGCGCGACGGCGGCGGGCCCCGCTGAGCTCCGGGCGCGGCGTTGCCCGGCAACGGCCCCCGCCCCGCCCGCGCTCCCATAGCTACCGAGGCGGGCGGCGGCCATCTTGGCAGCGGCCATGAGCGGCTCCAGGGCGCGGGCGGCGGCGGCGGCGCCGGGGCCGGACAAGAAGCTGCCGCCGGGCTCCGCGGGGCCGCTCGGCCGCCTGCGGGGCCGACGCGGATCAGCCGATGCGCCGCCACGGCAGCCCTGGACCGAGTCCGAGTTACTGGCGCTGGAGACCGTCCGGCCCGAGCACGTCCTGGGGCTGTGCCGGGTGACGGAGAGTGAGTGCGGGCCGGTCCCCGCAGCGGCGGGGCTCTGCCGGCCGGGCCGGGCCCTCGGCTGGGGAGCGCCGGGGACGCGGCGGCTCGGGCGCGCTGGCCGCGGCGGCTCGGGGTGCGCCTGCCGGCAGCTCCCGTACAACTTCCAGAAACTTTGAGGACTTCTGTGTTGTTTGCGCGTTTTGATTTGAGGGCTTTTTGGTTTTTTTGTTTTTCCTCTGGGCTGCTGATCTCCTCTTTTCTGTCCCGATCGCATCCCATTCTTGCTCTGCTACCTGGCACTTACCATGCCTTTGTTTCTCACATCCTTAATTTTGTCCTGCTTTCATGGAGCTTCTGCAAAACAACGAGCAGTACATAGCTTATCGGGCTGGGGCTGACAAAAAGGCATTTGATAAGTGGTCACAGATGTTTTGAAATGTTACTATATTTTTTCTCTCTCTTCTAGATTATTTATGCAAACCTGAGGACAACATTTACAACATTGACTTCACCAGGTTTAAGATCCGGGACCTTGAAACTGGAACAGTACTTTTTGAAATTGCGAAGCCGTCTGCTTCAGGTACAGCATGCTAATGTTGTAGGGAGGATAGAGAGACTCAGAGAGCTGAGAGGTTACAATGCACGGCCCATGCAAACTGAGCAGAAGGGTCCTTTGGCATATGTCCTGATGACTAAATTCCTCTCCTTTAAGCGCAGGACTGAGTTTATCTCTGCTGAGAAACTTCTGATAAAAATGTGATTATTGTTGAGTGGGAGAGAACTATCGACTGGCAATCTTCCTTTTTTGGGCTGGTTATAATAGCAATTAGTTAATGTGCATTGGCAGTTGTGAGGGGGTATATCCTGTGAGATTGAGGGGAGGGTGGCTTCAGTTCTGGAGCCACCATGGCTGGGCCAACTGTCACGGCAAGTCTTTTCTCTTTCAGTTCGTGCCAGTGTAAGTCTCAGACTGGGTATTAAATGTGTTTACATTCAGTACGTAAGCAGTAGGCAGCTTGTCCTGATACACCCACTAGCCACTATCACCTCAGGTGTACACAATGAGCAGAGTAACTCCTGGTTGGTTTTCTAGGTGTGTTCACTCCAGGTGTGTTTTCTAGAGCACGCTGAGGAGGATGAAGATGACAGCAGTGAACTGGATGCAAGTGCAGGTCGCTTTGTTCGGTACCAGTTCACCCCAGCGTTTCTCCGTCTTCGGACTGTTGGTGCAACGTGAGTATGAGTTCATGAAAAGAAAGGAGAATTGGATGCTTACAAAGTGTTACTTGACAGTTTATAACAAAACTGGGTTGAAGACTTGAAGGAGCCTGTCTTAGACTACAAATATCAAACTCTCTGTAGGGAAGTCTTGTGTAGCCTCATACCCAAGGCTCTTCCTGATGGCTGTTTTTTTCCTGATTCTTCATGCAGAGTGGAATTCACAGTGGGAGAAAAGCCAGTGTCAAACTTTCGAATGATTGAGAGGCATTACTTCCGAGATCGCTTGCTGAAGAACTTTGATTTTGATTTTGGCTTCTGCATCCCCAGTAGCAGAAACACATGTGAACACATTTATGAATTCCCTCAGCTCTCAGAAGACCTTAGTAAGTACCTCCTTTGCCATACTGAGTGGTGTTTTGTTTGTGTGTGCGTCTGCTCATTCTCTCCCTCTACTTGTGAAAGAAGTTGTGACTGGGATTGAGGGTAGAGGAACAAAAAGATACAGGTTCCCAGTTTAGCAATGTGTAATCTTCTCTGAATTAGGAATTTGTGCTGCAAAGTCTCCTCCTTTGAAAATGAAAACCTAAGACATGTGCTAAGTCACAGGCTGGAAGAACTGATCAGTGTCACAGGACTGACATGCCTGATGCCTCGTAGTGTAGCCCAGAAGAAAACAAAACACTGAAGAAAGGGTTCTTTTTATAGCCACCCATCTGTTTTCTGCACTTGCTTGTTAGGGCTAGAGCCTCCTGCTTTGGAATAGAACTGGTTCTTCCCTGAGGTCTGTTTTTAAGCCTGCTAAGATCTCTGCAAATACAGATTGCACAGGGTATGTTTGACCTCAGGGGGTGGATAGAGCAGAGGCACGGGGGCCCTTCTGGGGCTGCCCGACTGTGGGGAGGGTTTGGGGTTTTCATCCCACCTGTGTACGTGTGGGGAGTGCCGCAGACTCACTCCTTCTGTTTACAGACGTGATGGTTGCTTGGCTCCATTCATGGCTCTGGCAGTTTCTAAGTTTATTTTGAGTGAGGTTACTTCACTCCCCCTCTGTTTGCTTTTGACAGCACTTGTCCTGTGAATGGGAAGAAGGAAAAGGGCAGGCTGAGCCTTTGAAGTAAGCTCAGAAGAGCAGTTTGCTTCTCTTCCTTGGGTAGGGCAGAGCATCAGCCTAGTAAATCCAGTGGAGTGGCAGAGTCCTTTTTATCCTGACTGTGGCTGGCTGTTGAATGTAATGGAGCTTTCTCTTTCACAGTCCGTCTGATGGTTGAAAACCCGTACGAGACGCGCTCGGACAGCTTTTACTTTGTGGACAACAAGTTGATTATGCACAACAAAGCCGACTATGCTTACAATGGAGGACAGTAATCATTCTGTGTGCTGGATGCTGTGATGCCCTTAACCATTCCAGATGTGCAGGAGTGGACTGGAGTTGCAGTCTCGTGCAACGAGGCTTCTTGCCAAACCTTTTCTCTGTGGATGAGGCTGAGAACATGAAGCAAAGATGACGGCTATTGAAAGGAAATCTCCCTGCAACACCTCTTTATCTGAGACTCAGCATTTCCTGCCTCTCCTTCTCTGTTCCTGGCTATCTTCTAATAACCTTGGTTAGGTCAGTGATCAGAGGGACTCCTAGACAATTCTTGCTCTTAGTCTTTCTAGTTAGGTTGCACCTTTAATGCTTCTGATGTTTCACTTCTTGGATGAATATCCTTTTTCAAGAGGTCAGATTGTTTGTGTTAAGCTATTTCTTAGCAAGAAAATCTTAACCCATTCAAGTAGCCAGTGATGCTTGAGGAGCAGATCTTTTATTCAGTTGGATATATAATCTCTTCAGTGGCAGTGATTTTGTTTGTTGCATTGCTGACATTGTTTTTTAGGGTGCATCCCAATATTCTCCAGTGGGAAAGAGACTAATTCACCTTCTAAGCAGTGCAGGAATATTCCATCTGCCTCTGGGGGCCTGAGCTGCCCCTAAGAACGTTTAAGCTCTGTTTTGCCCGAGATTTCACTAGAGATAGGACATAGGGGAAAAAGGGGAATGCCCTTCTGATAGCCCTTCTGTTTGAGCTTTTGTGAGGAAACTGTTGAATTTTGGAGCTCAGGGGTCAACCTTAGAGCTGATGTTAATCTCACTGTATTTACCATTTCTCCTTTTTCCCTTTGTAGGATTTTTTGGCCCTTGCTACAGAATGTATTGCTTTTTAGGTAGACAGCACATTGTCAGCTGGCTGGGGTGAAGGTGTCACTCTGGTGGGGCTTAGAGGAAAAAGGGAGAATGTGGAAAATCACTTGAAAAATGAGTAGGAAGCAGAGTTCAGTCTACACTTGTAAACCTGACTGGTTTGTCAGAGTTGCTGTGAGCAGCACCAGCTCATTTTCTTTGTTGCAGTGGAGATATTGGTAGCTAAAAGCTTCCCAGGTCAGATCACTCAGTGTTACGGAGTGGGATCCTTGGAAAGTGAGAATGTACATGGTTCTCTCTTTTATTGTTCCCATCACTGCTCTGCCTGCTCAGCTGCTTATTTATGGTTTAGGAAGTCATGCTGCCAAGGTTGATACCACAGCTGTGTTTGGGATCTGGCAATGGGAAATGGCATCATGCAGTGGGAAGAGGAGGACCAGTTGGGCAAGCTCCCAGCTGTGCAAAATCTCAGCTATCAAAACCTTTTTTCCCAACTGTGCAAAATCTCAGCTATAAAAACCTTTTTTGCCAGTTTTGCTGGCTCTCAAGACTGGTACTTTTCCTGTCCTCATGCTGGGCTGGTCAGTTGTGTCTCTTGTTGGGGCAGTTTAGGTTGTGTCTAGACTGGAGACCTTTTCTAATACTAGTTCCATTTGTTCTTGAGACAGTTAAAACCTAACTGTTCAGTGGTTACCTGTTGTGCTAAGAAGGATTCAGCATAGTTTGTGTTTTAGCAGGATTGAGTGGGGTGGACATCAGAGCCTAGAGCCTGTTAATTCAGACAGGAATAGGAAACCACTGTCTTTACTTCCAGCTTAGTGAAAGTGACTTTGGTGTGGAACATCATCTGGCATCAGAGTAAGCAGTGAGAGTGTGTAGGGTAGCAGACATGAATGAATTTCCAGTTCTTAGGAAGATACTTAATTATGATTAACCACAACAAATGACCTGTTCTGGGTGGAGCATTAATCATGAGCAACCACAACAAATGTCTTGGGAATGTGGAGGGGCAAGGTCTGCCTGATGGAAAGATGAAGAACTATTCTGCCACCATCGATCCCCTCCAGCATCTCCACAGGCACTAATGCAATCTCGTTTAGGATCTTCAGGATTAGGTAAAGCTGTTGTTGAGGTGGACCTCGAGATGGCTCTTACAGTGAACACCTTCCACAGCCCTCGTGCTGTGCCTTTGAGGTGGGAAGCATTTGCTTTGCTCTAAGTTACTCATCACAAAGCAGAACTGTCTGGAAGTGTGTTTTTCACCCTGAAGTGTTCAGAAATAATGTCTGAAGAGCCTACTTGTTATTCCCTGGCAAATTTTAGCATATTGAACTGAATTTTGTATGTAGTATAAATCCAGGTGCCTTTAAACGTTACTTTTATAACATTTTCTACATGAAGCAGCCCCTCGCTTTTCTTACGAGTGTGACGGTTCCCATCTGTTCCTCTCGCTGCTGTGAAGGTTCCTCAAAGGCGGACGGGCTCGTGACCGGGACGGGCGGGGGCGCGCACGGGGCGGGGGCGCGCACGGGGCGGCGGGGGCGCGCAGGGCGCGCGCGCCATCTGGCGGCTGCTGGCGGCGGGAGCGCGCCGCGGTGCCGGGTCCCGGTAGGAACGGAATTCCCGTCCTTGGCTGTCAGCAGCGGCGAGGAAACGGCACTTTCACACTGGTGAGTGTGTTAGCTGTTCAGCAATAAAAGGGAGAACTGGCGGAAAAACGAGCGACTCGCAGGCAGCAGTAGCACCCTGCGGTTTTTGGCTGAGTTCGTTTGCTTTGCCAAATCAGGTCTTTGCCCTAAAAGCATGCTGCAGGATAAAGTCCCTCCAAGAGGGCAACCCAGCACTGAAAAAGTTGGTTGTAGTCCAGAAAGTCAGGGATTTCCAAACTTCTGTCCCTACTTTAGTAGCTTAACTAGGATTCTTTTTCTCTTAGGTACTTTCTATAAAGCCTCTTTTCCTTGTGGCAGGGATAATTTCTTTGGTAAACGTGGTTTAGCAGACCAGTTTCCTTCTGGAGTGTGTGCTCTGGGTCAAAGCTACTCATGCCAGTGAGCTTGGTAGAAATTCCACTGGGATCACATCCTTGACAGGTGGATGGTCAGTTGTAGCCTGGTGCTGCAGGCAAAGGAGATGCTTTCAGTATCAGTTGGAGTTTGAGCAAGGAAAAAGGTATCAAAGACTGCTTCTCTCAGGTTTTGTGCTGAGTTGGAAAAACAAAAAAGTTGGGACCATACTGCGTTCTGCTCAAAACTTCAAAAGAAAGGGACCAAACCCACAGACTCATAGTATGTTTTTTCCAGTATTTGTCCTCTTATTAACCGGGACCTCTTTTTCCCATTTGTGAGGCAAGGGCTTTGGATCCATGCCAGCAAACTTCCTGGAGAGCTATTTTCATACCTTGAGTGTTGAATACATACTGCTCCTTGTGAAGGAGGGTCATCTCTTGTATGGACTGGGTACTTCTGTCCTTGTCCTCAGTTTTCGGTAGGAAATGTCTTGTGTGTGTACTTGAGGTTTTTCAATGTCTCTTGTTGCAGAGGAGCAGCAGCCTCTTCTCTGGTGCTTGGGGATGCTTATTCCATTATCTGCGGGTTCAGGAAGGATAAAACGAGTGTTTAGTAGTCAGAAATGAAGGAGGAAGGTGGTGGTGGAGCTGTAAGATCCAAATGTAGCAGCTCTACTTCTCAGCTCTGTGTTCCATCACATCGTCTTCAGCTGTTTCCCAGTATTCTGCCCTGCTCTCCTGTGACACGGAGCTAGCCCAGAGCCTGGCTCGCTGTCGGCTGTGACCTCGGACATGAACACTGCTGTCTCTTGTCCTTGCCGAGGACAAGGCTGAGTGATGGCAGCCTGGTGAAGTCAGCACCTCTTCGTCTCCAGCAGCAGGAGAATGAACACCAGCAGACGCCCTCCCCGCCTGCAGGATCCCAGTGCTGTTACAGGACACGGATTTGTATCTCGCGTGTGGCCCTGGGGCTGCTGCCGCGTGGACTCCTCTGTGCTGTCCCGTTCGGACGCTGCTCCCGCGGCCGTGGCAGCGCCGCGGGGCTGTCCCGGTGGCCGGGGTGTCCCCGCGGGGCTGTCCCGGTGGCCGGGGTGTCCCCGCGGTGCCGCTGTGTTCGTACGCCCGTGGTTTGTCACCAGCAGCAGCAATAAAGGACCTTCCCCTCCATTCCCTTCGCTGCTCTCCTTTGCTGTCCCCGCGCCCTGCAGGGCGGGGCCGCGCCGCCAGGCGGCGCACGCGCGGCCCGCGCTCCCTCAGGCGGCGATGGCGGCGGCGGCGATGGCGGCGGTCGCGTCCCGCTGCGGCGGCGGCGGCGGAGCCGCCCGGGGTGAGGGCGGCGGTCGCGGCTTCTCTCTGCTGCGGCCGCTCGGGGGGCCGCGGGGCACCCGGGAGGGGCGGGAAGGGGCCGCGGCCTGCGCGGGAGATGGCGTCCCGGCGCCCTTCAGGACCTGGCTGAGGCGAGTGCCCTCGGGCACGGGAGTGGCGCCGCCCCTCAGCCGGGCCGCAGCGGAGGCCGCGGGGCGCGGGAAGTGCCCGGGGTGGGGGGGCCCTCAGAGCCCCTCACGGGCCCGCGCCCGCCCCTGGCCCGCTGTGAGTCCCCTCCCCGCTTGCAGCGCTGGCCCTGCGGTGCCGCCGGCTGCACACCGTGTACCAGAGCGCGGAGCTGCCCGAGACGCACCAGATGCTGCGGCAGATGGTCCGGGACTTCGCAGAGAAGGAGCTGATGCCGCTTGCAGCGCAGCTGGACAAGGAGCATCGCTTCCCGGCCGAGCAGGTGGGTGCCAGGGTTGGGAAGGCACGGCTAGGGGCTCTCTTCCTGGTGCCCTGGGGCAGGAATACTCGGACTGAGAGAGAATGTATATCCTGCTCTGGTTTAGCAAAAAATTTAAGTTTAGAGCAGCTTGTTGCTCTGAATGTGGACGTTGTAATTCCCACAGGACATTTTGAGCTCTTCACTTTTATTTGTGTTTCTCTGTATCTGACTTTAGTACCACTGAGTTTTTAGTTATCTTACCAACTTATTTGTGGGACTAATTCATAAAATTAATCAAATACTTTTACAGACTGCACATAATGGTTTATGGTGAGATATCATAGATTACGTGAACGCATTGCAGATAGTGAAAAAAAGCGATCAGGAGGTACATGCTGCTTATCCTCTGGGGCTGTGAATAAATCGAAATTCCAGCCAAACCAGTGATTTCTCATATGGAAAGACACACCAGTGTGCATGTTAAGCAATGAAATACAAAGCTCCAGCAAAACAGATCTTGTTACATTAGCCAAGGGACTCCAGGCAAACACTGTCAGAGGCATGAGAGTTTTGTCACATTCTCCTTTCTATTAAGGTACAAGGACGGTAGACAGGAAAGTCACACTTACCCTAAGGAAGAAAATAACTTTACTCCTTACTGTTCTCATCTGAGAATTTTACATTTGATTCTGAGTCTTTTGACTTGAGTATGTAGGGGAAAGTTCAAGATGCAAACATGTTTAATAAGATGAAGCAACACACATAGAATCAGTGTCTTGTTCATCTTTTGTATTTAATGTGGAATATTGGCGTTTTGGGTGCCCACATAGGAGGGAAAATTATGTATCTAAAAATTCTCCCTGGTTCCTCTAAAAGCAAACAGAGGTTTATGGTGGCAAAGCAGGGGGTCTAGCTGGGGAACTTGGGGTGGATTGATTGCAATGTAATTAAAAAATTCTCTGGGAAGCAAGGTCTGGCTTTATTGGGAATGAAAAAAATCACCTTGCCACCACTGTTTTCTGCAGTCATTCATTCTGTAAAATTCTTCCTTTGTGCAGTCCTAGGCTGAAGCTCAGCAGACTCAAAGGTAAAGTTCTGACGATTTTTATCAGCTAGATTTCTCATTTCTACTGACAGGAGACATGCAAGGGTAGATCTTTGGTGGGAGGATGGAGAAATGCTGGTGGAGTTCTGTCTCTGTATTTCACCGTCAGAAAGCTCCCCTCTTCCCAGTACTGAAGAAAGCTCTAAGCAAGCAAGAGCCTAAACAACAGTGACTGCATACAGCTCCTGCTAAGTCACTGGGATCTGGGGACACTTAGCAGTTTGTTCAGATTCCCATTTCACTAGGAATTTTGTGCATCTTTTTCTCTGGTTTTAGCCCCCTCACGACATGTCTTGCTCTCCATGTGTCTGTATTTGCTGGCACACTGGTGCTGCAGAGGATGGGACCTGTCCATTCCCCATGTGCAGGTGAAGAAGATGGGTGGCTTGGGGCTGCTGGCTATGGACGTGCCAGAGAAGTACAAAGGAGCAGGCCTTGACTACCTAGCCTATTCCATCGCTGTGGAGGAGATCAGCAGGGGCTGCGCGTCCACGGGTGTCATCGTCAGCGTCAATAACGTGAGTGTGGGGGCAGGCATGAAGCGAGGCTGGCATGGCAGAGGGGTGTTTGGGAGAAGTGGATGTGTTCCTGTGGTGGGTTCTCTGGTGTGTTGGAGAGCACATTAGAGAGCTACTCGATTGGTTGTACCTTCAAGAGGCACTAACAGCACGAAATTCTTAAAGTCCCTGTATTTAGGGCCAATACTCAAGTTTGGCTCCGAAGAGCAGAAGCACCAGTGGATTTCTCCCTTCACCAGTGGAGAGAAAATTGGATGTTTTGCCCTCAGTGAGCCAGGTGATGTGACTGTTATGGTCCCTATTGCAAAGAACATGGTGTAGCTTCTTTCTTTGGTCAGGTATAGGATGACCTTGAGGTCTTTGAGACTGGAACAGTTTGTAGAAGGATGGGTTATAGCAGTTTTGTGTGAGTGGAGTCTCAGTACCCAAGATATGAATTGTCATCTTATGGTCCCTGGTGAAAATACTCACTCCGTGTGAGCAGAGCTCTGGACAACATCTTGCACATACGGGCCTTTGCCTGTTCTGTGGGAGGAACAGTGGGTGTGACACTGCCACAGTTCAAGAGGTGCCTTGAGCTGATGGGGTGCAGGTGTGGGGTGGGTTTGCCCCCAGTGTCACCAGTCACCTGAGACTTGTTTTCTGTTGCTTTGCTCAGGAAACGGCAGCGACGCGGGTGCAGCCTCCACTATGGCGCGCCTGGATGGGGATGAGTGGGTTCTGAACGGTACCAAGGCCTGGATCACCAACGCCTGGGACGCCTCGGCCACAGTGGTGTTTGCTACTACGGATAAATCCCTGAAGCACAAGGTGTGATAGTTTGTATCAGTCAGGAAAAAGGCATGGCAGTGAAGGAGTTTTGGAGAAGCACTTTGCCATGGCTGGGGCTCTGTTTTTAGAACCGTGCAGGCATTGACCAGAAGAGAGGCTGATGTGCACCGGTTTTGTTCTGTCTCAGCTCTCCTCTCCCTCCTCCTGGTTACCTGGACATGTGGCTTTTATGTAAAATGGAGGGAACCTGCTGACAGCCAAGGAAGTGGGAAGGTAAGACACCATTGCTAAGAGTTTGGGTCTTGTTGCAGGGCATTAGTGCATTCCTGGTTCCCATGCCAACAGCTGGGCTGTCACTGGGGAAGAAAGAAGACAAACTGGGAATCCGAGCCTCTTCCACTGCTAACCTGATATTTGAGGACTGCCGAATACCCAAGGCAAACCTCCTCGGGCAGCCAGGAATGGGCTTCAAAATTGCCATGGTAAGAGAGGGATGGGGTGCAGCTGAGTGTGTACAGCTGTAACTCCCAGGCTTACCGTTTTGTAAACCATTTCCAGAGGCAGTCACTTCAGTGAGGACTGCTTTCATAAGATGTTTTGTGTCGTGTTAAGCTGTTGGCCCTTCTTGCCAGCATGGGAGGAATCATTCCCAGAGCTTGATGAATGTTTAATTTACACAGATTTTTGACAGCACTTTTATTGTGGCAGTTTTCAGCTGGAGCAGCTGATACCACTGAGTTGCTGTGTCAACAGGGGGGAGTATATTTTAATTTTTCTTCTTTCCCAATCCTCTGTTCCTCCAGTTGTACCCATAGATAAAGGGAAAACATGGCATTTCCCCATGTGAGTACTGTGGCAGAGGAAAGTTGTCCTGGAGGCCCACAGCAACTTCTGCAGAGTGTCTCAAGGTGAATGACAGCTGAGTTATGGTGTGCATGTGACTTCTGAGGAGGAGCAAGGCAGCTGGGAACAGCTTTTTTTTTTCCTGCAGAGAAGCACTGTCCTTTTACAGTGGTCATTGCTCTTTCTGGAGGGGCAAAACACCCTTTGTTAGCCTGACATTTTGAGTTGAGCTCCCTGGAGCAGAGCCCTTTCCATTATGTCCAGAACTAAAAGTGGTTGGTGACTGACAGGTTCTTTTAAAGACCTTCAGCCTAGGGTTGAGAAGATAAAGCCTTTTCTCCCTGTGCTGCAATTTCTTCTTGTGCACAGAGGGGCAGAGTAGGTGTTTGAGCTAAGTCAGGTAATTTACTGGGTTCACTAATGAGTTTGAAAAATGCTTTCACATGTGTGTCCAAACGATGAGGGTAAAAAAGGAAAATTGACCAGATTTCCAAAGTAAAATCAGCTGCAGAGTGTGCTGGGTCTGCTTGAGTTCTTCCAGCCCCTTCCAGAGCAGATCCTTGTTGTGCTGCTTCCCTTATTTTGCTCCCTCTGTTTTTCTCCCAGCTAATAAGCAATCCCTCTCCTTTCTCCTTCTATTGTTGAACTCTTGCCTTCTCTCTGCAGTGGCAGTGCTTGTTAAAGCTCTCTATTCCTACATAACTGGGAACACTGTGAATCAAGGAGGTCTCTGACCAGAGGATTTTAAAGCTACAGCAGCTTTCCAGCTACATCAGAAATATGTGTACAAGTATGACTTGACTTACATGTATTTTGTGTCTTTCTCAGCAAACTCTGGATGGAGGAAGGATTGGTATTGCCTCACAGGCACTTGGAATAGCACAGGCAGCTCTGGACTGTGCTGTGGATTATGCTGAGAAGAGAATGGCCTTTGGGTCACCCATCACAAAGCTTCAGGCAGTGCAGGTAGGAGCAGGGCACACTGTGCAGTTCCACAGGGTGCTGGGGCTGGTGGAAAGTGCGTGTGGGTTTGGTATCAGGCACACAGTGCACTTTGTACTGTCTGGGATAAACAGGGTGATAATTCTGTTTTCAAAAGCTAAAACTAATTGTTGGGACAGAGGCTCCTTTTCCTTAGATGGCCCCAGGGGTGGAAGAATTCAGCTGTCCCCTTGTGCAGGCAGAGGCCCTGGGCCAAAGGCAGTGTTTGTTGTTGCAGTTCAAGCTGGCAGACATGGCTGTAGCCTTGGAGGGTGCGCGCCTGCTGACCTGGAGAGCTGCTATGCTGAAGGACAATGGAAAGCCCTTCACGAAGGTATTTCCAGCCCTGCTTTTGTCCAGCAGCCACAGCACAGCACACAGGCTCAAAGCCATAGAGCATTGCTGTGCTCAGTGCCTGCCCAGCCAGCGCCGCTGGGGTCTAACCCCCAGCAGCTCCTTGGGCCCACTGCCCACCCTTGGGCAGCCTCCTGAGTCAGCACTGGTTGTAGCCAAGGGGAGAGGGGTGGCTGCTCTCAGCTGGCACCAGCATCAGGCCTGTCTCTCTGCACAGCTGCTCTGTGAGCATTCAAGCTCCTTGTGCAGGTGAGGGGGTCCTTTTTGTGACAGCTGTACTCTCAGTGATGTTTTCCTTCCCCAAAGGAAGCGGCAATGGCCAAACTGGCTGCATCGGAAGCTGCAACATCCATTGCTCATAAGGTAACTGTCAATTGACAATTCTGACATATGTCATGTGGGAAGGGACTTTGGATGTCTTACAAGTGCTCTGGGAAGATGGGATGGAATTTACTAATTTATATTTGAAATACACCAACCAAAGCAAGCAACCAACCCTATGGCTGAAGCCGTTTAGCACAACCATCTTCACAGGTTTTGGGGAAGTAGGAGGATGGCAGGGGTTTATACTGGCCTGTGGCAGCTGTATTATTTAAGTGGCCTGTGCCTGCTGCTGTCCAAGGCAGTGGCAGTTTTAAGAAGGAGCTGCAATGTGGGAGAGAGCATGGGGCCACTAGTCATCATCACTGCACCTGGATGAGATCCTCTCTTCCTTGGTTTAGTGCCCCTGGCTTTCATAAAGGTATCTTAGAATATGGATCACTAGCAGATACCTCTGAAGCAATTAATTGCCCATCTGGAATATCCATATTGTTCTTGTCCAGATCAATCCTGTGTATTCCTGTGATCACAAATGAGCTGCAGTCATCCCCATATGTCCCACCTCCCCATTATGCTTGCAGTGAGCTAAATTCCTCTTAAAATGGCTGTCTGTGCACATGTGCATTCTGTAGAAAACAGATTTCTTGACTCCACTTTCTTTCTAAGCTGCTGCCTTTGTTTCAGGCTATCCAGATCCTGGGCGGGATGGGCTACGTGACAGAGATGCCAGCGGAACGGCACTACCGCGACGCTCGGATCACCGAGATCTATGAGGGGACCAGTGAGATCCAGAGACTGGTGATTGCAGGCCAGCTGCTGAAGGCCTACCGAGGCTGAGGGAGCTGCCCCAAGTGTGTTGTAATGGTGCATAGTGATGGAGTTTGACCCTCTTGAATGAAGCTGTTGATGGAGGTTTTCCTCACCAATGGCTAACTGACCCTCTAGTTAAAATGTGCTGATTCTTCTTTGGACAAAGTGTGGCGCACTGAGGATGGACTGAGGTTTGCAAGTGATGGCTGTGAGTGCAGGAGGGAGGAGGCAACCTGTGCTCATAGGGCAGCCTGAGGCTTTTGCTAAATGGGACTATTCAAATGGCTTGGTAGTGGCAAAATGACAGTACTTGCCAGCCACTGCCTGTTTTGCTAAATTTGTCACTACATGGCACTGGATAACCAGTGCCAGAATTAAGAGATGCTGCGAGCCATGACTCCTGGGCCCTGCTTCAGGCTGCTGGTCATGTGCCTCTGTAGATCAGACTTCAGTGGAGTTCAGGTGTGGGATGCAGCTGTCTGTGAGCTCCTAATGGGACAGCCCGGGCTGAGATAATCCCTGCAGCAGGGCTCTTCTCACTTCCAGCAGGAGAGGAGCCAGACAGGAGGACATGCAGGGACAACCCCCACACAGAAGAATCTGAGCAGAGACTGTAGTTGCTGTATGCACAGATTTGAAAACACAAATAATTCCTCGATCTGGGCCAGCAGGGCCCAGCACCTGCTCACACAGCTGCTCTGGGATGTAGGGATAGAAGCAAAAGAAAGCAAAGAGGCAGTGCCTAGGACTACTTCATAAAAAAACCCAACCGAACGAAAAAACCCCTCTGCTCCCAAATCTGCTTCTGCAGTATCATCAAGAAAGGAAGTGCCTCATAGGGCAGTAACAGCTTTTAATCTTGACATGTTCTGGGCAACGAGGAAATTAAGAGATGACACGCAAACCTCACCAGGAAGCTTTAGCAGTAGCACATCCTCAATGAGTGATCATTGGTAAGACATTAACTTTAGGAGCATCAACAGCCAAAGGAAAAGCTCAAAACTCAGAAGAGGGAGAGGATTAAGATGACAGCCAATGTGGTCTGGTCTGCCTCCTTGTCCAAAGAAGTACACTAGAGGGAAATGGTTATTTTCCTGTGGTGCCATTAATTTAGACTTGTGTGCAGAGAAGAGCAGGATTCTGTTACACGAGCGAGCAGAGAAGACAAATAAAACCTGATTTTAAAGGACCATCACTCCCTCATTTTTTTTTTTTTTTCAATGCAAATGTGAATTAACTTAGAGTAATTTCTTCAAGTCCCAAGATGCAGGAGCAGAAACCAGTAGGGCCTGCATGCACCAGTGAGACCAGTTCTCAGTGAGGTCAGTCATCCCTGTGCAGAGCGCTGGAGGGCAACAGCATGTTGGGGCAAGGGCCTCAAGTACTGAGTTTCTCCTTGTTCTGCTGTGCGTAAGGATTGACAGAACTTGCCACAGGAGCATTACTACTGGAAAATCATTCCAATGACCTTGAATGTGCTGTAAATTATGGAGGGCTTCTCTGGATGAAGCTTGATTTCAGCCTATATTCCCTCTTTGATTGCTGCAGTGATGGTACCTGAAGATGTGGAGATACTATTTTACATTAACTTCTCCTTGCAGCCACTCAGAACAGGACCTGCAGGGATGTGAGGACTTCAGCAATGCAGAGTTCCTGTTACGCTGCGCTCCAGCTGAATCCCCAGTGAGCCAGCACAGTCAGTCACACTTCTGCCAGCCCATTTCCCCTCTCGTCCAGGTGCTTCTCTTAGATCTGCTGTGCTGTCAGTGCTTGCTGATGCCCCTCTTCACCCTCAGCCTCCCTCATTACCAGCTCTAATTTGCTACAGTTTCTCTGCAGAGCAGAATGAAACCATCCCTGTCACCCACCGTGCTGGCTGTGACCACCTCAGCTGACAGAGAGAGAACTTACAAAAAAAAAAAAAAATAGTGTGCAAAAGCTTTCAACCAAAAGCTTTCTGGAAGTTTTTCCCTGCTGCCACAAGGTTCAGCAAGAGCACTCTGCCCTGTGACGCTGCACTGCTTTGGGGGTAAAACAGCATGATTACACACACACACAATGTCCTAGAGCTCCCAGAGCAAAGCAGTGGCTTTGCTCAGAGCAAGACACTTCAAGCTTACTCCTCGCTGCTGCCTGCTGAGAGAACTTTGTGTGATGAGTGTGTCTGCTCCTCAGGGCTGTTGCAGAGGAACTGCTGAAAGGGCAAAACACAAACGAGTTTTGCAGCATTAAATCAGCAGCTCTTAACCAAGCCACCCTCAGACAGCACAAACCCAGGTGTGGGCAGGGCCAGGCTCTCCTTGGAGAAAAGGGTCTGTTCACACGTGAGGCCCCAACTCTCAACTGCCAAACTCAGCTAACATTGCAAAGCTGGGGCACAGAGATGGGAAAATCAGGTTGTACATAAATTAGAAACAAGTGGGGAAGGAGATAAGTCACTTTTCAAGAACAAAAGCTACACTTCTCAAGGACTTTGTGGTTTTGCCCCATAATGCTCTAAGAGTACATGAAACTGGTTATGAGGCATGAAGCAGGTGGAGCCTGAACTAAATCCTTTCTTAGAAAACATAGTTACAGTAACTAGGAGTTCCTGCCGTGCCCTAGATCTGATAGCTTTTGTATCATGTAGCTCAGACTCTTCCTTGTGAGTTCCCTACAGACTAAAGGGAGATGAGCTGATCTGAAGAAAAGACAAATTTATTCTGATTTTAAATTAGATCTTTGCTTCACCTAAGTTGAGAGCCCTCTCAGCACAGACCTGGCAACAGCCATGCATTCAGGTTATGTTGGAATTTGGGAAAAATATGGAAAATAGTATATTTAAAAAACATCCTGAAGTATAAAAGCAAAGTGCCAGGAAGAATAATAGAATAGACATGGAATAGTGATAAGAATGAAAAAACTAATTTCAAATTCAAATTTTGGAAGTCATCATGTTTGTACGGCAAAGACTGACCTTAGGGAAATATCAGCATACAAAGGACCATTTCTAAGCTTACTGTTCTCAAAGATGCAGCAGAGTACCAGACCTGTCAGCAGATTTGTACACAACAGTCTGGTCTGTGTCCTAACAACTGTGCTGTAAGCATGCTCTGGTCTATCACTTTTTTTTGCCAGCATTTTACCTCTTGCAAGGAGATTTATATTAGTCAACTATTAAAATAGTTATTGTTGACAGCTTTCTAGAAGAAGGGGCAGGCAGCTGGGCAGTCTCACTGCAGGACCTTGTGTCTAGTGCATTAAGGAGCGCAACAAAGAAGGCATCAGCAGCTGTACCAGAGCCAACGGGGACAGGAACCCAGGTCCTGCATAGTCTCCCAAAATCCAGAGGACCCAAAGTACCCTGTACAGCTTGATCCTCAAGCAGAGGAGACACATCAGACTGGAAAGACATAGACCAAAGGTCCATCTGTACAGGGAGGGCCCACAGCTGAGCAGCCAGGTAGGATCCATTTCTAATACCCCTGAATGGTTTGAGGACGGAGAGCTGTGGAACAGAGCTTTGCAGCTTTAACTTAAAGCTCTGGGATAGCACCTTTTCTTAGTACAATTAAACCTCAGTGAACCTCTGCCAAGCACCAAAATCCTTTTTCTGCCAGCTGAAGGGGCAGCAAACCCCTTCCAGTGCAGTGGGTGCTCACCTGGGTGGGGCCCAGCACAATGTGAGGGGCAGGGACAAGAGGGCTCAGTAAGGGCTCACTGAGGTCTCCTGGTGCAAGAGAAGGGCACAGAGTGCAGGGAGGCAAGACAGCTTAACAAGGAAGACCAGGCTTTTTTGGGAAAGCTAAATTAATTCTCATGAAGTATTTATCAATTAGCACTTCTAGAACTTCCTCCAGAATGCTTCTCTAACTGTAGAAATTGTTCATAAAGACAATTAGTAGGCATGGCCTAAAAATGCAAAACAGAGAAAGACCTTGTATTTTAATTCCAGAGGAATTCCAAAGAAATAATTCCAAAGGAGGGAACTGCTGTGAAGCTGATGGCGCCTGAGCTGTGCACAGTTGTCAGGTAGGTGCAAAGGCTAGGCAGATAAAGCTGCAATGAAGTGGAGCTGAATTTGTTATTCCACTGCAAAAAAGCCCTTTTTATTTGAATACCCACCTCAATATTTTATTCACTTCATGTTTGAGGTATAGCTCAAAACTGATGCCTTTCTACTGTCCCAAGCAATTCTGGGACCTGACACCTGTCATGAATAGAAAAGGCAGATTCTCATGAAGAACTATTAATTTCATTTAAAAAATGACGGTTACCTGAGGATGACCACTGCAGGCACATGGTAGAGGGAATGCTTTCAGCTAAGGGAAAGAAAAGAACTCAGGGGGAGTGTGTGTGAAAGAGAGAGATGATGTCCCAGTGTCCCCCCCTGCCACCTCCACCCCCCCCAGCATGGCTGAGCTGTGTCTTACTGTTTATCCTGGGACATTCCAGCTGTCTTGGAAGTGCATCCCAGCCAGCTCAGAGGCCTCAGGGCCCCTGCCACCTGTGCCAGACCTGCCTGAGAACAGAGGAAGGGGTTAATTGATGACATTAATGACAGCACACATGTGGCTCGACAAAATTTCCTGCCATGTGTTCTTGTACCACCAACAGTGCTGAGAGCTTCAGGTGTTTGAGCAACCCCTCCCTTACCTGGAATGAAACTGATCCCAAAGTCAGTGCTCAGTCAGTCAGTCTCCAACATTCCTCTTTATCCCATGCCACTAACACTTCCCAGCATCTGTCACATAACAAGAGCTGTGAGCCCTCAGGAGAGCTCCCCAAACCCCACTTGGCACAGTACTTGAAAAAAGTTTAGTTACCTCAGGGAAAACTTTCAGTCAATAAAGTAACAACTGGAACTGCTGGTTTTAGAAAAGAAAGAATAAAATCCACATTTTAACAGGCTACAGGTAGAAAGAGTCAAAAAAACAAATTCCAACCAGTCACAACAGTAAAGGACAGTTTTTCTTTTTTTTTTCTTTGAGGGGCAGGGGCATGGAAAAATACAGCACACTAATGAAACAAAATGCAAAAAATACAAAAAAATAGAAAATAGAAAAAATGTATTTACAAGTGATACATTACTATGATCAGAAAGCACAAAGACAATTGCTGCTATAATACATGCACTGGTCAAGAAGGAACTACTAAAAACCTGCAAGGGAGCTGTTTGTAAAAAGGAAAAAAAAAAAAAAAAAGATTAAAAAAAGGAGGAAAAAAAAAGAAAAAAGACACCCCCACCTCCTCCCCCCTCAGACACACAGGGCTGAGTTTGAACTTTTTTCTTCCCTAGTTTGCTACATTGATCAAATCATATATCCCCTAAAGTCCATGGTACAACCAGTACAAATACTACACTTGGTTTTAAACTGCAGGTTCAGTTGTAGGAGGGGGGAAAAACAGCAGCTCATTGTAGATCCATATACATAAAGCCAGAGTAACTGCGCTACATGCTAAAAATTACAGCAAGCCCCTGTCTGCTACACAGCATGATCTTAGCAGGTTTTCCTTTTTATTTATTCATATATATATCTATATGTGTGTATATATATATGTATAAAAATCGTGCCCTTTTTCACTGCAATATGACATCTGGGTGGAAATGTAACTTGTTACAACAAATTTTTATATGTATACTGCAAGAAGTCACTCGATGTCTGTGGATTTAATAAGTAACCTCACACCACAGGAAATATTTAATAAATCAAAAAAACCCAATATTGTGACAGAAGACCTTCTGTCTCAGTTCTTTTCAAAACCGAAGTCCCACAGGAAACTGGTCCCAATGTCCATGAGGGGTTCTCTGAAGAAGCCTCGGTTTGCTGAACTGTTTTTGCGTTTAGTGTTCACAAGTTTTTGAACGACTTCAAGCCGTTTTTAGTTTCAAGTCTTGTCTCTCTTCCTTTCTCACAAAGGTAATAGTCTGGTACTAATCCATCTGAGTGAGGAAAAGAGGAAAGTGGCTGCAGTTGCACAAAGGGTCCCCAGTTCCACATCTGCAGGGAGATATGGAGTCACACAGAGCTCTGGGATTTCAGCTTTTGTTTCTTTCACTCCTTTAATACAAAGTCCTTTCATACGTGTCCCATCGCTGGTACCTTCCCAAGTACCAGCCAGTCCAGCTTTAGGAGACAACAAAGCCACAAGTTAAAGTGAAAAGGACCAAGGCAGAAGTTCAGGTCACTTCCTGACTGTTCCATCATAC